CACCCCCCCCTCTTAGTGCTCTCGATCCTAACATAGGCGAAGGCTAGTAACTAGCTCGATGCATAGAGTACAACCATCGAGGAGGCGGACGAAGTCAAGTAACCATTACTTTCTTAACTCTTAGGAGAATGGGCGAATCTGAGTACCCTAATTCTCTTATCTATCCAATATAGGAGCTATGCACAGGTTCAAAAAACCTTCAAAGATAATGAAAGATAATAGTTGTTAAATCCTCACCAATAGTGATCAGTACTACTGAGAGTAGATTATCCGTTTCATTTTCCAATAGAATGCCAATCGAAAGCAGAAGTGATGTGAATCTACTTTGAAGTGACAACTAAGTGAAAGAAGAGTCGATGGATAAATTTTATGGAGGAAGGACCCAAAACTTCAAAAGTTTGCGAAGTGATACTCGTTAAAGCTCCAACAAGCATCCACTTAGTTCAAGTAACATGAGGCATTTGAGAGATTGGCGCATAGTAAGGATGGTCTTTTCCTTCATCTAAAGGATCCGCTAGAACCAATAGAGATCAACACAACTCCAGCCAACCCCACACTAGAGTAAGAGGCATTGGCGAGTTGAAGCAGCATGGCAGATCAAAAGTTCAACTACTCAACAACAGCAGTGGAGAGCAACTGCGAGCCAAGAGGCATATTGCAATTAAAGTAGAAGATTGAAGACTCAGCAAAGGCGAGGAGTTGTAGTGTCGACAAAGGCTTCGATATGGATGTCGAAAGAATAAGTGGGGGAGAATGTCACAAACAAAATTCTAAACAGAATGTTTGATGTAATGCTTATGTATGTCCACCATGTCTTTTGGTTTGTTCATGCTTTGCATAGTATATAGAGGGACGATCGAAGGCTTAATAGCTCCATTTTAATTAGGTTTGGTAGCCATTTTAGGCTTGTAAATAAAAGTTATGTCATGTAGACACTTATGAGAGATATTCGATTTGTAATAGACTATTTTGATTCTTTTTTGTGCAACCATTCAGAGATTGTAAAGTTTATTTGTAATTTGCATTGACTATAAAGTGTTTTCTGAAATGTTTGCTTATGAATCCCAAGTGAGGTGCTTTCTCTAACCCATTTTCTCTTTTATAGGTCCTAAGGGACCATAGGAGGTTTCGGGAAGGTTGACCTTTATGGACAGACATGCAAGGGTGCCGCACGACTTAGGCAAAACCAACTAAGTTCGTGACAACACGACGAAGCGAAAAAGAGTTTTTAGTAGGAGATTGGGTTTAGCTTTGCGTATAGCCATACAAGCAACTCTCCATCAATACACGAGCCTCCATGAAGCTATCCCCACATTTTTATGGGCCTTATCAAATCACAGAGCATATTGGAGTCGTGGCATACAGACTTAAATTGCTTGAGGATGCCAAAATTCACCATGTCTTCTATATGTCATGTCTGAAGCCTAAGTTAGGAGAACACGAGTCACCCCAGTTCCAACTGCCTAACACCACTGATGATGGAGATATTTAAGCCCAACTATAAGCCATCCTCAACCGTAGAATCGTGATGCATTGCCACGTCCCTCTACTGAAGTACTAGTGCATTGGAATAATTTACCACTCGAAGATGCCATATGGGAATCATATGAGGAGCTGAAGACCCGGTACCCTAAGTTCATGGAACCTTAGCATTGAGTGCAAGGCTAATTTGGAGAGGGCAGGCTTGATAGGACCCTAGTAGAGTTGGGTCATACTCAACTAAGAAGTAGCTAATAAAAATCCTGTGAGATTGTAATAAACCCCACTTAACCGCCTCTATCCTATAAAGAAGAGTGGTTAGGGTTTATATTTAGGTCTTTGGGCTTCCTAGTCGCGCCCCCCCCCCCCCCCCCCCCTTTACTTGGGCCGGTCGATTAAGGTTGAGGATAAAATGGGTAACTCACTTAGGAAGCAGCCCATAGGGCTAAGGTTTGGAGCCCTATATAAGCATATAATCTCAATCTCTTTGGGAACAAGATCTATCTCCAATTGCAGCCATATGACCGACTTCCAAGAGGGTGGAACCCCTATAGCATTCCAAGGATTGATTCCCCTCAAAGATCAATCTACATAGAATTCCTCTAGGGTTCTATCACCATTCCAACACTATCTTCCATGACACATCGTTCTCGTCTTTTTCCTCATCTTCCTTTGTCTCACCTCTCATTGTCACTTTCTCTTTTCTTCCTCCTTATATCCTCGAGATCCACCACAACTGTCATGAAGCCACCACTACTACTACGGGCACCGTCCCACCTCGGTCGCTGATGAATCGACATCAATAAGATTGACTACCACAACAAGAGTCACTCATGGCCTCGGCGGTGTCGTTGTCCATCATTATTACAACAGTCGATTATAAAATTTTAATTAAAATATAATAAAAAATAATAATAAAACGTTAAAATTATCTTTTTACCCATCATTTTCGTATCATTTTTGCACTCACGTACTGTATTTTATATTAATAAAATCGATGACGTTTAGGATAAATGAGACTAAATGTTTCACCTTTATAATTATAAAGATTTTAATATAAATATTTTAAGTCGAAGGATCGGGGTTTAACTATAGTAGATATTATATAATTACTTCTATTATTTTTCATGAGTTAAACTTTATGTATGTGTCCATCTTGAAATATATTTAATTTTTTTTATCATCCAGATCTTACGATCATTCGATAGTACATTCAAATATATTTAATTTTTATTATCTTTCTAACGGCCTCCCCCGACACAATATGAGCGGTTGGTGAAGTGTTGAACAAAATGGGTGAAAGATCCTCCTCTGTCCCCAGTGCCTTGGATCCTTTCCGATCTTAACAACAAAAAGAATTCAATAAGATATGTAGCAAAATATAGAACTGTATCTTTTTTGAAACATAATTATTTTTTAACCTTAGCTTTCTCCTACTTTAAAATAGGATAAAAAACAAAATGAAAAAAAATAATGTTCCGATCATGATGGATGAAGGCAGGAAGTGAATTGCGATAATTCTCCTTAACGTGGATTATGCAACATAAAAATGTATTTTTATTTGATTGTCCTCTAATTGGTAAACCGAAGGACGATCCTGTCGGAAGTGCCATGAACCTAATGAGGGCTTGACAACAACAAAATCAGGTTGGGAGCAAATTTCTAAATCCTATCTTCTGTTCTTTGAATCTGACCGACCTATACAAAGCCAAGGCTAATATATTATTCTTACCACTCTGCCCTTAAGAAGGTACTTGGAAGCTGGATCCATCTTGACCCTAGTTTTCTCGGAAGCTTCTTGCCCCTTCTTTCCCTTCACCATCCTCTCGCCTCCGTCACCGCCACCTCCACCGCCGTCACTGCTGCTGGTGCCTTTGCCTCTGCCACCGCCACCCCTTTTACTTTTCCTTTCCTGTCCTACTCTCGGGTGGCCCGGGGTTGAGCGACGAAGTATCCGTCTCCTTCTCTCCCGTTTCTGCGGTATTTGTTCTTCGTAGTGATATAAAGAAGGGGTGGGTCGAGCCGGCAAATCTACAATCGTACACAAGGTTTGTTTCTTCGACACCTGATTCGAACCAATTCGATCTTGGTCCGGATTGTTGCATGATTTATGACTTTTGTTCCTTTTGGTTTCTTGTCTCGATCTTGGACCGGATTGTTGCATGATTTCTGGTTCTTGTTCCTTTTGGTTTCTTTGTCTCCATTTCTTGGGTAAATTCCTTTTCCGTGTGCGCGTTGCTGCGACATAGATAAGCAAGGAATATAAATAATCATATCTTGAGTAAATTCCTCTTCCTTCAGGTTCAGCGCCGAAGTATCCGTCTCCTTTTCTCTCGTTTCGGTCAACTCCTCGTCAACCCGTATTTACTCTTCGTAGTGATATAAAGAAGGGGTGGGTCGAGCCCGTAAATCTAAAATCATACGTAAGGTTCGTTTTTCTGACACCCAATTCGAACCAATTTGATCTTGGATTGGATTGTTGCATGCTTACCGTCTCTTGTTTTATTAAGTTTTTTTCTTTCCGTTTCACGAGTTTTTTCATTTTTTATGTGCACGTGTTCTGCGACATAGATGAGCAACAGAAAGAAATACTGTTCTCAGGTCTATAAAGGTTTAATTCGGGTTGTGAGTCGAGAATATTGATCTTGAACGAAAAACACTTAGATGTAGTCTTTTTGTTAAATGGCTATGCAATAAGATAGTGTACTTCAGTTTTTTCTAATTTGAAGCATATCATGTGGTAAAATTGGTTGATTTTGCCTTTTTAGCATCTTCATTAATATGCCTTTTAGGGTTGTGTGTGTGAAATGTTTACTCATTTGGCATTGTTGGCCTACCACATCCATGCGAGGCTACTTAGGTAAGGGTACTCAAGACTCCACTTAGAAGGTGTGAATAACTTAGCTTGGCTGAACATATACATTGTAGAAGTCAACGTCAAGTGGGGAACCATCGTTGCTGTTTAGTACATATATCTTGAAAGAATGGAACTTAGAACTGAAACCAGATAGACAGAAACATATATTTCTAATTTTTACATCTATATGCCTCCATTGTGCTATTCTATTGATGCAATCTTACACTAACAAAATCTGTGTCTTGAAACCCTGGTACTGAATGGTTATATTTTAGTGACTCAGATGGACCAATCTTGTACCACGTATTTGGTACAGTTCCATAATATAGACATATTGGCTTGAAACTCAAGATTGTATGATTAAGTGGATGGGCTTGTGTTTGGTAATTAGTTCCTGTAAAAGGGAAGGAAGGATTAAGCTAACTGATAAGTGAAAAGAGGGTTTAGAATTAGCTCTTAGATATAACTGCAAGTAAAAGGGAAGGAAGGACTAAGCTAACTGGTGAGGAATTAGAAATAGCTTATCTCAACAGTTCATGCAGGTTCACTGGGATCACATCTAAAGGTGGCTTCATGGGTGCTGATTGCTGGATGTCCAGTTTTACATTATCTCATGTTATCTCAATTTTCAGAATTTAAAAGCAACATAATTTGGAAACTAATTTATGAAGGAATATAGGTGGTTCTCTTCCATTTCATTGATGCGATCAGTAACTTTGTTAGCAAAAAGTGAGTAGTTCACAGTTATTCATAAAAAATATGTAGAAGATAAGGACAATTATGGGTATGCTGACAATCAGTATGTTAGTGAAATCATAACATTCATTATTGGATAGTCTCTAAGAGTAAAATACAGGAAGCCATGATTATGCTGCCGTATGTTCTTGTGTGGCCAAATGTGGATTATCTGATTGCATGTTGTTCATGTACATACATGTACCTAGTTTGTTGAATGCTTGTGTTAACTATTTAGGCATATCTTGCTTTTCTGTTCCTCATTATTATCATTGTTGGTACTTTTGTTGTGACTGTTATTGAAAGGATTATAATTCTATATTATGCTGGCCATAGTTATCTGAGTCTAGCCTTGGGTTACTCTGTTATTGTTTGAACTGAGGCATCAAGCTGTTGAACTGCAAGTTCAATGAAAAACATTAAATATATATAAAAATGAGAAGATTTATATATTATTAAAAAAAATACATAGTAAAATTTATTTAATTCCTAACCAGTATGGAAATATTACTTAGTTAAAAGAATGATAAACAAGTAAAATGTGTGGAATTATTGGTTGCCTTTATCATACAAATATAAAAAAATAGATTACTTCCAAATTTTACATTTATGTTAATCACCATAAGGATGAAATCAGAAGTAGTTAACTAAAAGAGAAACTGCTGGCACCTTTTTAGTGTCTTATCTTCCTGAATACAGGATCTTAAGCTCAATGAGATAGTTGATGATAATAGCATTCAAAAAGTGATATCTTCAAATGCTTAGTTTTACATGTTGGCTCAACACGTAGCAAATCCTAGCAACCACTTTATACATATCAGACAACTTGAAGTTGAACAAAGGATAATGACTATGTATGAGGCTTAAAATTGCAGAAGCCATCATTATTGGTTTGAAGAATCTTGGGCAACAAAATTCCAGTTTAAAATTAGTGAAAGGAAAATAGTTCTAGCAACATGATGGAAAAATCGCTACAAACTGGTCATAGTCATAGAGAACTGTTAGTGATAAGAGTTGCAATCTTGAAAGTTGAAACAAGTTTAAGGGCCAATGTGACTAAATTAAAGCATGAGTTTTGATAAATTAGGTAAATCTAATGGTGTTAAGGTTAATATGTTGGCTTCTATTTATTGTCTTACTCAACCTTTTATTTCTACTTGGCTCTCTAGATTTCACTAGCTTTTTCTTATGAAGCTTTAATGTAATGCTATTACTTTAGGACATAAATAAACGAGTGATTTGGCAAGTTTAATTAATTACTTTCCAATTAATTATTCATTAAAATTGTTAGATCTAGACAGCTTAAAACGTAACCTAGACCAAATTAAACTCACCTGTCAAGTAGGACATTAAGCTATGAACATCTATTAGCAATTGATGACCAACCTTAAATTAGGATTGGTGACCAATCCAAATTCAAGATTGATTCAATACTCCAATGGACCAATATGTGGTAAATCTGATTGAGCTAATAGATGGTTGAAATCATCACTTATGTTTTTTATGGTTTGGGTGTGTATCGATCGACCATCGGTACGTTACGTACTAAGGCATATCGATGTACCGTGTGTCTGTATGACGGGGCATACCGACGACACAAAAAAAAAAAGATCGAAAATAGCTCCAAAAATTTCTAAAAAAAAAGAAAAAAAGTTAGATTAGGGTTTTTAAGTTGGAAATAGATATAAATTTAGTATAATTTTAGTAAAAATAATTTAAATTAGGAAAGAATAGTGACACGTATCTAAGTTGGAAATAAATATAAATTTGCTTGTGGATGCATGAACTGCCAGCATTAGGATGGCATGGTTTGTTATATAGCCTTTTAACGAACAAATATGTATGTCCTTGTTGCACGTGTTTATTTTGACTAACCGAAATAGAAACATGAAAGGCCGTATCCAATGCATGAGGCTTCCGCCATGTAGGGTCAAAGGAGGGTCAATGTGCAAAGCCTTACCTTTAAATATTTGAAGAGGATGTTTTCGTGACTCGAACCTTCGTCTCCTAAGTCGCAAAGGAACAATTTTATCGTTTTACCAAGGCTAGCCTCTTGAAATAGAAACATGTAACCCTTTAATTTTCTTTAATACTAGGATTGATCATGGATTTTGTTGCATGTAGAATTTTTATGTTTGAAATATTAGTTCTATTTTGTAAAATAATGAATGTACATATCTCGTGTGTTGTAGTGTCACTTTGGTTGATTGTTAATTTCCTAGGAATAACGTAAGTTATGACTTAATGTCTGAAGACTTCATGTTGTCATGCTATTATTAATATTTTTTTTTAAGCATACATTTAATGAGTTATTTGACTATGGTGAATCTTGTGTTTAAAGTTTAAATTTCATTTTATTTGGCATGTGCTATGATGAATGCTTGCATGTGTTATGATTCAGTATAGTCCAATAATTAATTATTTAGTTTCATGTCATGTATCAATGATCATGAACCATGATTTGATTTTCCTTAAAGAGGTATAATAATGTAGTGTTGACATGAGACACGCGATTGAGCATTATATATTTATTGTATAATTTTAATTTCAAGTTAGGTTCTTGATAGTTCTCATACCATAGGATTTCATTTACGGATTTCAAGGGTGGTAAACTTTTGGATCTGAGTAAAGGATGGTGTTTAAGTTCACCAAGACGGAGGTTATGAGTTTGTATGTTTTACCTTATAGTAGCTTTAGTAAGAGAATTAGAAAGAACATTTTTGCTAAAATGGATTGAGTTTGATGGATATTATGTGACCAACAAGGATGTGCTATCATCTTGTGAGAAATGTACCCTTGGGTGGTAAACCTTGACCCAACACGTGAGATGGCATTTAAGTCCACCAATGATGATGTTCAAATAGTGGGGTTGGTTCCCTCGGGTTTAGTACGTACTTGAGTTCCATAATTATTTTTGTTTCCTTTCTGAATAAGGTAGTATAGTATATACTCCCTTATTTATATACTATACTCCCTTATTCATATGACATGTGATATGAAAAGAATATGAAAGAAAAACAAAAGAGAGTGTGATATGTGAAATGTGATTTGATTCTTGTTATTGTTATGCGATTTGCATTAAATATGCTGTTCGCTTTATTTGAATATTATTGTTTCATGACATGCAATTAGAGTAAATTTTTGAATAAGTATGCATTATGCATAATGGGTATGATAGCTTTTTGTGGTATCAACATATGATTAAAACACGTTAATTATGAATAATTTATTGTGAATATACATGTGTCATACAAGACATCCTCTTATTAATCAGTTAATCTTTTTCACAGATACTTGTATTTATTAATATGGGATTAGCATATTGTTGTATGCTTCCTTTAAACTCTACCTTATTCTCAACTAGGCATTTGTGCTAAAAAAAAAAAAGAAAATGAACATATATAGGTTTGTTTGAAGGTAGCATGGTATTAGGAGCGAGAGCAGGAGGATGATTTGATGTGTGAAGATAGATTTAATTATTATCATTTTTGTAAAAAAATAAAAATTTGTTTTGAATAAGAATATTATTTTGCTCTCTAAAAAGGGATATTTTTCACACATGGATCGATTTACTTGAGAATCGAGTTAGGTTAGTCTGGAGCGTGATATTAATTAAGATAAAATTTAGATAAAATGTGAATTTTACATTGTCGATTTATAATAAAATATCTTATTTATTTTTTTATACCACCCTTATCTTTACATTTAGACAAAAGTATCCTCAAGCATTCTTTTTTCTTTTTTCTCATTTTCTTTCCTTTTTAAATCAATTCAATTGAGTCAACACTTTTAATTGAACCACTATAATCAACCCCAAAACATGGAACGATCTAGAATAAATAATATCCAAAGTATTAAATAATATTAATTTATATTAATAAAATTATAAAATAATTATATAATGTTTAAATAATTATATATTAATATATATCAATATTAATATAGACTCATTTGTCGTTTTATGCAAAAATATGAAAATTTTCATTAAAGGTATAATAGGGGTTTAAATAGGTGCTTGGGTGCTCGGGTGAGGCGAGGCAAGGCCCAAGCGCCTCAAGCCTCGACCAGGCGCTTGGGCACTCGCATGAACCCTGGCGTCGGGCACCTTGGTCCGATTGAAACGAATCGTGCGGTTGAACAGTAGCTTAGGTGGTTTGATTGAAGTTGAACTGAGCTATATAGTGTTACCAAACCTACATACGCAAACCCCGCCCCCCTACGCGACCCCAAGCCATAAACCCTACGTGCATAGTCGCTGCCTTTGCCATCATCACTTCCTCTGTCGTTGCCTCCGCCACGTACGCACAGGATCGACACTTCCTTTGCCGTCGACAGATGGGTCCGAAGGTCTAGATTTTGTGTGTAGTTCCCTCCACCGTTGCTACTTCCGTGTGCAACTCCTTCCACTATTGAGGGAGAGGACCACAACTTCCTTTGACACCGATGAATACTTTTGAAGCTTCCTCTGCCCACGATGTCATCGTCCACAGCCTTCATCGTCATCATTGTCACCATCTGAAGCTTTTATCGTCCCTGTTGCTGCCATCCGCAGCTTCCTTCGCTGCTACTGTTGTTGTTCGAAGCTTCCTCCATTGCTGTTGTTGTCGTCCGTAGCTTCCTTCGTCGCTGCCGTCGTCTTCTGAAAGTTCATCTGTCATTGTCGCCCTCTCCTTCCCCACTTTCCACTGTTAGTTATATTTTCTCCCCTACAACTACTGTTAATAGTAGATAGTTAACTACTGTTATCATATAATAGTTTCTATTTAGATTTTAGCTCTGCTAATCTCTGTTATTAATTATATTTTATATTAATTATATTTTAATATTTTTATATTTTAAGAATTCAACCATTTTGTTTGAAATCGATTGAGATTTACGAGCCATTGTATCTTGAACTAAAATTTGACTAGCCTCATCATAAGATTTTAGAAGGCACATCAAGAAATTTTACTAAAAGGTTATAGTACTTAGTATTAAGAATCGTCATTCGGGTAGTGGACCTGTTTCGGTGATTATATATCAATGTCTGTCTTGTGTCTCGGTGTACATGTTTGTCACTACACCGGTATATATTGATGTTTCATAAAGGAAGAAAAAGGAGAAAACGGGTAGTGGAGGAAGAGCGAGGAGGATGGAAGAAGAGATGGAGGAAGAGGAAGAGGAAGAGAAGAGGCATATTTGTGAGATGCAAATATGGCAAAGGTGATACATGGTGACCTGCGAAGCACGGACACGCCGATTTTGTGGATGTGTATCCATGTCAGAAAACATCTCCCACACCCTTCTCACTGCCGCTGCTCCCTTCCTCTCTCATAGGGCAGTGTTGTTAAAGGCACTATGCGCCAAAAGTTGCGAAAGCTAATTAGGCCTCTCTTAAATTATTCATTCTGCATCATTAGTCATAGAGTATTCTTGTTCTTCATAGGCTAATTAATACTCTTTATGTCTTAAAGCTAATATTTACACTATTTTTGGCACTTATTAAAAAAATATAACTCAATTAAAAAGTAATGGTCTATTTTTATACAAAAATATAAAAAGTTTCATAAAATCTTGAAAATATATATTGTACCCCTAAATGACCAATTTTGCTATTTTTGGATAATTAAAGGATTTATTTTCAGTTAATTCAATTGTAAAAGCTGAAATTTATATATTTTTATTTTTGGCCAATTTAGGCTAAAAATATAACATTATTTGGCCATAATTTTCGTGAAAACCTAGATGATATTTTTTTTAAAATTTTTTGACTTTGGAATTTTATATTTAGTTATTTAGCCCTTAAAAGGTTAACTTTGTTTTTGCCAATTTAAGGTGAATTTGGAACCAATTTAGGTTAAAAATCATTTGAATTTTATCAAAGATGAATTTATAAAGTTTTGAAAAAATTTTTTTTTTTGGACCACATTTATGTTGTTTCTAAAATGGGATTACATATATAAAAATATTGTACGAATTTATGTTGAAATTATAACCTTTTTTGTCAAAATTTTCATGAAATTTTGAAAATGTTTTATTAAGCCCTAAATGATCGCATTTTTTATTAGGATCTTTCAAAAACTTAGTTTTAGTTAATTTAGCCCTTAAAAGTTGAAAATTTTGATTTTAATCTTTGTTCAGTTTAAGGTGAATGCAAAATCAATATCGGTCAAAAACTTTTCTTTTATTAAGTTTCGGTTAAAAATAAATTTTTTTTGGATCTCAGTTATACTATTTTTTAAGACTAGTTTTGGGTCATTCAAAAATTAAGTCCATAAACAAAAAAGTATTGATCTCTCATGTTTCTAAATATTTTGGAATTTTTAGGAAATCTTGCAAAGCTTAAGTTCTTTTTATTTTTTAAGCACTTAAAAATGCATTTTTACTTATTTGAATTCTTACATGACATAAATTTAACCTTTTAAAGGTTTTTAAAATAAAAATAATTATCATTTAGATCTCATTTTTAAGATTTTTAAAAATAAAATGTTTAGTTTTTGTTATTTATTTAGAATATATAAATGTATTAGTTTATATTATGTTGTTTTAATTTATATTTAAGAATTTTATTTTTATATTTTGTTCATTTTATAATAATTTATTTATACTTTGAAGATAAATTTTATATAAATATTTATCATTTATCTTAATATAAATCAATATATATTAATATTTTATTTATTATTAATTTTTTTGAATTGGTATAAGTTTTGGGTTGCTCCAATCTGTTCGATTGAATAAATTTAATGAGGGAGGGAGACGTGGAAAAAAACTTAACTGTAGTTTGGGGTGCTTTTGTTATTTTGACAAAAAGGTGCTATGTAGGAAAAAAACCAACACTGGGGCACTTATTGGGGGAAAAGGCAACATTAGGTAGCCCAAACCTTGGTTCGGTCTCGGGTTCATGTTTTTGGGGACCTGATCCAGATGGTTTCGGTTTTGTTATTGGTTCTAGAAGGATAGTTTCGTGGAATCAAAACTGCTATGTTATAAAATTTTTAGTTTAAAACAATTTAAAGCAATAAAATAATCATAATTTTATTTCATAATTTTCATCGAAGTGGATGTATTTCTATACACGTAATGACATATAAACGTATAAAATAATAGATAGCATCAATCGTTGCCTGTGTTGGATGTCTGGATTGTTCATTCAGCTAAATGCTCTCTTGGCTTCATTGCTCTGTGTTGGTCCAAACTCCAGTAATTAATATATGTTTGGGTCTCAATTGATTCGGAGCTCATAATAGAAGGGTCTCATCTAAGATGCATCTCCCAACGTTGAAAGCCTTCTTCACAATCACTATTGACATCAGAGTTACTAAAATTTGTTTTGTAATTTTTTGAGCCTAACGGTCCTTTCGTTTTTTCTCTTTTGTAACAATATTATTTCTCCTCAACTAATTACACTATATTGTTCGCCAATTATAAATTGAGAAAATTGGGAGATAGTTTGTCTATGCACTATAATTGGCATACAAGTTAATGATCATTATTTAAATATTTCTTAATATTTTAGTAATATCAATGTCTAAATGCAAACAATCATAAAACATACTCTAATAATCATGCAAACCATCTATTCAAGGATCAGAAACAAAAGAAATAAGGTAAATGGGTGGAATATCTAAAAATTAATTAACCTATTTAGTATTCACTCTCATGATAATCATATTCAATTCATTATCAATTTCATATTTTTCAAATGTTTTGATAATATTAATACGTTCAATTAAAAAATATTAATACATTCAATTAAAAATAGATAAGCAGTAGAACAATAAACATAATATAAAGTGAAAGTAGGATAATTAAAAACTTTTAAGATATCTAAATTTTTTTACCAACATTTTGACATTGTAAATATAAATTTACTTGTCTTATATTATTACAATAAAAGTACATAATAATTTTCTATATTCAAAACTCTAATCTGTAATTCATAATAATCTTATATTATTCAAAACTCCATTGGGTAGGGATATTTGTGGTTAAGTCCACAATGAAATTTCTTGCTTAATGGGATAAAGAAAAGTATTAAGAGATCAAAGTCGTTCTTATACACATAAATTTAAAATATGGTATGAACATATAACATGAAAAAAGATTCCACCAAAAGTTGGTTGCAAACTGGCTCTAACTCAAGATAGCTATAGTATTTGCAAATGAGTGGGTCGCTGCGGGGTGGCCATCACCTTGAGTTTGTTACCAGATCTACAAAAGTAAACTTCTTCAGGCAAGTAATAGCATGTTTCCAATTTTCATTATTTCTAAAGCATTTTAGATATGCTTGGAAATAATGATTCTTTGTTTGAGACCTGGATATTTATCATCTTTATTCTGTACATCCCTCTGCAAATTGTCCCAAAATTTTATGTAATATGCTTCACTAAATGATTCTTCAATTTTGACTTTTTAAATCTTTATTCTGTTAAGCACATAGTTATGAGAGATTTGTTTTGCATCAATGTAGTTGTTAATTGATGGAATCATATGGGAAGATTTGATTCAATTACACATTCCTTGTATTGCAGATGAACTGCAGAAATACAATGCTATGATAGGATGGATCCTGAAGGCAAGAAATTTGGAAGAGGTAAACTTATCAAATGAAACAATTTGAATGATTGATGCATCTTCCATTTTGTTACTATTCATCAATATTAGGTTGGCAAATTTCTATTTATATATTTTTAGTTTCTTTAGTATAACTCTGAATTTTTAAAAACTCACCAGTTTTTGATATGATTGTTGAAAAAAAAAAGAGAAATGATGATCCACTGGATCCAAAGTTGTGTTCACCCAAGATTATGTAGGAAAAACTGGCATAGTTGTTCAAAGAAAAGATATGAATTTCAAATAGGAGTTTGATCAAAACTGAATCTGATCAACCTTAGGGCCTGGTCAAGTTGATTTTAGTCTCCAGCCATAAAACTATAACCAAAATTGACAAATCTCCTGTTTGATCCAATCAATGTTAAGAATGCTTTCAAATCATGTGAAACACATGCCCATATTGATTTTATCAGTACTCCTAAATCAAGGGAATTTTACCAGATATGGATTATGATTCAGATTTATAAAGATTAGATTAGGATAACATCTGAACAGAAGTTTACAATATAAAAAAGGCCTGTTATCAGGAGAATTTTTATGGCTTCAGAATGAGAAAAAGGTTTACAATGTGTACCCAAAATTAATTCCTAATGCTATCTTTTCTTTCCAATTATCAACTCGCATGACCTAGCTTTTGCCACATTATGGTTTTTAATGATTGTCATTTTCATTTAAAATTTTGATGATAGACCATGTAACATGTCTGGATCATGCATATGATCCTCATATCTTGCTTGTAACCTGTACACTCACATATAATATAGAATGTATGATGTTGGGCATCCGGACTTGTGTAACTTATGTTACTGCTCTAGAAAGCTTATATGCAATCTATTAGGATCATAGTTCCAATTTCCAAATGCCAACATGCACAAAGTATATTGTACACGTCTAAGGCCATATATCGTTGTACTAACTACTAATTATACCTGTCACCACCAAGATATATATATATATATGTGTGTGTGTGTGTGTGTGTTGTGTTGTGTTGTGTTGTGTTGTGTTGTACTGTTGCATATTATACAACACATGCAAGTACACAACAGCTCGCAAGATTCTGATGAGTTTTGGTACTGGTACTCTAAATCAAGGATTGAAATATCGTACCGTACCGAAGTTTCGACGTTCGCTCGGTACGGTACGATACTATATATCGAGCGGTATATCATTCGGTATACCGACATATATATATATATATATATATATATATATATATATATATATATATATATATATATATATACATATATATATATATATTTCGGCGATGTCGCCTCTCTTCTCCCAGGCTGGGCTCGGCGATGTTGCCTTGTTTATATATATATATATATATATATAAATTAATAAATATATATTTATATATAAAAGATTATATATATTTATATATATATTTTTTATAAAAGGCAACGTTGTCGAGGCGACGCGATGTCGCCTCGTTTATATATATATATATATATATATATATATATATATATATATATATATATATATATATATATATATATATATATATATATATATATA